TCCTCCTCCTCCTCCTCCTCTTCCTCCTCCTCCTTCAGTGCACAGCACCTTAGCGGTACAGCTCCTTTTATTGCGTGTCGATGTACCTTCCGTTTCCAGGTTACTTGGTCATCGCCATTCTTCTTCGCCTGAAAATCATTCGAACGGAGCTTCGTCAGTTTTTCTCTCTTTCTTTTTCTCTTCCCTCTACGAATTATCGAATTGTATATTCTATATAATTGTTTCAATTTTGGAAATACTTTGATAAAAATAAATAAGGAGAGTGGAATTAATTAGTTATTCGATGGATTCTATCATAGCTATAAATTATTTTTTTTTAAATTGTGTGAGTTGTATATTTTGTATAATTTCAATTTTGGAAATACTCTGATAAAAATAAATAAGGGGAGTGGCTTTAATTAGATTCGATCATAGTTATAAATTATTTTCTTTTTAAATTGTGAAAGATTGTGCGAGTTGTATATTTTATATAAATAATTTCAATTTTGTAAATACTCTGATAAAAATAAATAAGAATGGTATTAATTAATTTACGAATAATTAATTATTTGATGGATTCGATCATAGCTATAAATTATTTTTTTTTTAAATTGAGAGAGATTATGCGAGTTGTATATTTTGTATAATTAATTTCAATTTTGGAAATACTCTAATAAAAATAAGGGAAGTGGCTTTAATTAATTATTCGATAGATTCGATCATAGCTAAAAATTATTTTCTCTTTAAATTGTGTGAGTTGTATATTTTATATAATTAATTTCAATTTTGGAAATATTCTGATAAAAGTAAATGAGGAGAGTGGAATTAATTAATTATTCGATGGATTCGATCATAGCTATAAATTATTTTTTTTTTTAAATTGTGAGAGTTGTATATTTTGTATAATTTCAATTTTGGAAATACTCTAATAAAAGTAAGGAGAGTAGCTTTAATTAATTATTCGATAGATTCGATCATAGCTAAAAATTATTTTCTTTTTAAATTGAGAGAGATTGTGCGAGTTGTATATTTTGTATAATTAATTTCAATTTTGAAAATATTCTGATAAAAATAAATAAGGGGAGTGGCTTTAATTAATTATTCGAATTATTATTATCAAATTATAGATTCGAACATAGCTATAAATTATTTTCTTTTTAAATTGTGAATAAAATTAATAAAAATAAATACTCTAATAAAAAAAAGGAGGGAATGGCTTTAATTAATTATTCGATAAAGATTCGATCATAGCTAAAAATTATTTTCTCTTTAAATTGTGTTGTATATTTTATATAATTAATTTCAATTTTGGAAATACTCTGATAAAAATAAATAAAGAGAGTGGAATTAATTAATTATTCGATAGATCATAGCTATAAATTATTTTCTTTTTTGATTGAGAGAGATTGTGCGATTCTGGAAGAAAGTTGAATTTTTACCTGTTAAAATATTATCCAGGATCGTGGAGAAGGTAAGATTTCGAAGTGGAGAACAATTTAGAAGGATTAAGAGGATCGGAAAGGAAAGTCAGGCCTGTGTCCAAATATTTTGTCTTCCGTTATATTTCGTTTGGAAAATCGAAATCGATAGGTTTAGAAGATTCTTACGGCTCGAGAGAGTTAATCCTCTTTAAAGCCTGGTCTAATCGGGATTAAAAACACTCGAGAAAGGCACTCTCCGCGTAAAATAAATAAATAAATAAATAAATTCGCGATGCTCGAAAATGCAAGGAAGAAAGGAATCGTGAACCGCTTTATTGTAATCCACGACACGATTTCTTTCGATTCCCAAAAGAGAAGCGATCACCCCCCTCCGTGGGGACCAATAACTCAACGAAGCTTATCCTTCTCCAAGAATATTTACAATCTATCCAATTACAGCGTGACAAATGACATTTCAAATTACCATTTCCTCGTTCCCTTAGGGGAATCGGATTTTCCACAACTTTCGAACAAAATTTTCGAAATTTTCCTCAAGAAAGACAAAGCATTACATCCCAATAGCAAAAAGGAACGATAGAAATTTTAACGGTACAAATATCTATATCTAGTTCCAAGGCTGGAGAGAAGAGAGAGAGAGAGAGAAGACAGAGGGCGTATTCGTAGCGAGGCGAAGGCGCCCGATAGGCGGAGAGTTTCACAGCGTCTCCCTCTATCTATCGATTCATCCCCTGACACGCCATTCCCGCTCCACTCTCCTCTATCGCCGTATCTATCTCGCGTAATTATCGATATTGAGGATACTTGCGACTACGAAATTTTCCTCGCCCAACGTAACTTGCACACCAACCATGGACACATGGTGTAATCCAACCGAAATCCAAAAGAATGTACTAGGAGGAGAATACGCGGATCGGAGTCACGCGTGGGCGGCGAATGGCGCGTAACTGGTGGCGGAATCTGGTGGGCGAAGAAGGCGAACAGTTTCTCCGAGAGAGCGTTCTGGAAATAAATTTAAATTTTCCTATGTATTTTTTACGTGGTGTATTCACGAATATAAATATAAATATAAATATTATATATAAATATATATAAATATATTTGGAAATATAATATAAATATAAATAATATAATATAAATTATATATATAATATAAATATTTTTGGAAAATTTATTATGATCCTTATTTCGATATTTGATCTTAAATTAATCCTAATTTAATATAAATCTTAAAAATGACGATTATTTGTTAATTACCTCCAAAGGATATCCGAATAAATTTTTTCCCTTCCTCCTCGAAAAAATTCCCTGAAAAAAAAGTAAAGTTCGATCATTTTCCATTCTCCTTCGCTTCATTCGCGATTCATTCAATTCGCCATACCTTTCGAGTCGAAGGAGAGAGACATTGCATTCGCCGCAAGGAAGATTGCACGTTTGGCCACGTTTCCTCTCCAATCGATCCTGAAAACGAAGCATTATAAATTTCTCAAATTTACAATTCTGAATTCACGAGGGGACGAAAGGCTCTCTCTCTCTGTGTATAAGCATTTACGTGGATTGTCGCGTGCAAAGCTCGAGATGCTCGTACAAAGAGGATTGAATGATATATAGAGTACCGTGTAAGTGACGATAAAAGCAGTCGAGTCGGCATCAATCAACCCTTTCACACGCTCGAACCTCTCTCTCTCTCTCTCTCTCTTTCTCTCTCTGGACATCCACTTCGCCTGAAAAATAAACCAATAATGAAACTTTCTTTCTCCTTTTTTTTTTTTTTTTTTTTTTACAAAATTGCAACGATTAAATTGAAAACATCACAATTTGTTATTGCAAAAAGTTACAAAAGTGTTCTCTTACATCCACAATAACAACGATTCTTCGAATTTCGCACCACTCGGAAAAAAAGAGAGCACAAACTTCGAAACTGGAGGGGGAGAGGGAGGAAAACAAAAACAACAGGAAGACAGGGGGAAAGTTTCTCTCTCTCATTCGTCGTCCCCGATATCATCGAAGCCTAGATCAAACCTAGCTTCGGATGATTCGAGGAGCAGAAAAGAGGAACGCAGGCTGGTGGACGAGACGTGATGGCTGAACCGACGAATAAACCAATAAACGGCGCAACCATCTGCTCGCCAGCCGGCACATCTCCATCTCTATCTCCTCTCTCTCTCTTTCTCTGTCTCTCCCTCTTCCTTCTCCCCTCGTTCGCCGAGCAACCATCCAAACCCACCGTCGTCTCCCTCTGTTCTCTCCCCTCGAGCCGCGGGCATCGTCGTCACAGGCGGCAGCACCATTTTATGCGATCCTGAAATGAAATCCACCGCTAGAGAGAGAGAGAGAGGGAGGGAGGGAGAACTCTAGCAGGGGAACTCCCGCAGCTTTTATTCCACGACAATGAACACCATCATCCAGCTTCCACCCCTAGGGTTTCCCTATTTCCACCTCTCCCTTCCTCCCTCCGTTCGCTTCATTCGCTCGAGGTTTTTGGAATTTTCCCTGATAGGGGAGGGGATGATGATGATATGGATCCTCTCGAGTTTCTCTTTTTCTCTCTCCTCTCTTTCACGAGAGGGGGAGTTGCCAAGGTTGAGTTATGGGAATGAGAGGAGGGGAAGGGTAGATGGCAGCGCGGCACGATTATGGGATTGTTTCCCCTACCCTCCCCCCGCTGGATACGTGGAATAGAGATGGGAAAATGGGGTCGATGGAGAAGTTTCCTTTTTTTTTGAAGTTTTCCTGAACTGAATGTTTGTAGATTCCTCCATTTTTTTTTTTTGTCAGAGAAGAGAGAAGGAAACGAAGGGATTGAATTTATCAATGGAAAAAATATTATTCTTTTTGTCATCCTGATTTTGAAATTTGCACTTTGTGTATTTTTATGAAAACGTGATATTAATTTTATTTTCAAATCAGTTTTTCTCAGGGTGTTGAAAATGTAAGAACAATATTCCAAGATTCCAGAATTTTATTCAATAATTTTATTCAAAACTTGTTTCTCCTTGGCAAAAGTGCATAGATCGCAATAATCTTTATTTTGATTGATAAAAGTTTGGGCTAAAAACCGCAAGAACTTTCTTTCCAACTTAATATATATATTGGAGGAAGCTCGAAGGCAAAGTAAAACATGAGAATTATCCTTGTATCAACAGGAGGAAATAAATTTCAATCTCTCTCTCTCTTTCATAAGAATTTAAAATTAAAATAAAATCACCGGTATCGTTTAAAAGGTACACCAATCTTTCCACCAAACGATTTGAAAAAAAGGGAAAAAGAGCAAGCAATTAATTCCTGTTGCAATGATAAACGATGATTATATTTAAAAAAAAAAATATCTTTATTCTCTTGGGCCCCCTTTATTATTTTTAATTCGTACGCGATAAAAGAAAGATAAGAGAAACAAGTGACGAGGTTGGAAGAAAGGAAGGAAGGAAGGAAGAAATGCGCACAGGAACCGGATCGTAGATCGTTGGCAAGGGACCAAGATTATACATTATTCATGATAATTAAAAGTAACGAGTCTGGACAGAATAATCCACAGTAGTCGGGAATACAAGGTGAAACATCTTGTACCTATTATAACAACATCTGTAGTAGAATAATCTTATGGCAATAATAATTAAGGAGGAACGCGTTTTGATCGATTTTATCTTCGAAAAAAGAAAAATTGTTTTCGAATCGAGTGCGTCGAAAAATTCTTGATTTTTTCCAAAGGAAAAAAAAAAAAGAATTGTCGGGATCAGAGGGGTGGAAAAATATAAAAATGGTGGTGAAATTTGGAGCGAAGAATTCGGAAGAGGGGAGATTCGGCTCGGATCGAAGGTCGATCGACCGCCATTATTCCCTGCCTATTAACTGCAAAGGTCCATATATACCTGGTCCTGAGGCAAAAGTCGAACAATAGTTTGCTATCCCTCCGCTATATTGCCGCAATAAAACTAACGCTCTACGTTCGTAAAACCGGACGCGAAATTCTGAGAAAATTTCGTGAGGGGCCCCCGTTAATAACTTTACGACAAACCGAATGTATATTCCTTAGAGCTAGAGGAAAGTTTACGAAAGTTTCTCCAAGTGGAGGAATTATAAAGGAAATGTTGAAAGAAAAGTTTTCTGTTTCCGTTTCCGAAACGGAATTGTAAAATCATTAGAAGGAAATAAATTTGCAAGAAAATTTTGAAGAAGAAAATTTTCTCACCGTTTTTGAGAAAAGCTTCTTTACAATTATTTACGAAAAATCGAAAATATATTCCCATCTAGAGAAAAGTTTAGGAGAAAAATTGTAAAGGAAATTTTGAAAGAAAAGTTTTCCCTCCGTTTTCGAAACGTCTACAAAATCATTAGAAGGAATAAATTGGATTTGGAATTAAAATTTTAAAAAATTATTAGAAAAAAACAAATTTTGAATCGAAATTTTAAAAAAATTATTAAAGGGAAACGAACTTGAAAGAATATCTTGAAAATTTTTTTTTAAAAATTCTTTTAAATAATTATTAAAGGAGAATAAATTTGGAAATAGAATTTTTAAAAAAACCTTTAAAGGAAAACGAGTTTGAAAGAATACCTTGAAAATCCTTTTAAAAATAATTAAAGGAGAACAAATTTGGAATTGGAATTTTAAAAAAATCATTAGAAAGAAAATTTTGAAAATTCTTTTAAAAATAATTAAAGAAGAATAAATTTGGAATTAGAATTTTAAAAAAATTATTAAAGGAAAGCGAACTTGGAAGACTATCTTGAAAATCCTTTTAAAAATCCTTTTAAAAATAATTAAAGAAGAACAAATTTGGAATTGGAATTTTAAAAAAATCATTAAAGAAAAACAAACTTGAAAAAAAATCTTGAAAATCCTTTTAAAAATCCTTTTAAATAATTATCAAAGGAGAATAAATTTTGGAATTGAAATTTTAAAAAAGAAATCATTAACGGAAAATAAATTTGGAAGAAAACCTTGAAAATCCTTTTAAAAATCCTTTTAAAAATAATTAAGAAAGACAAAATTGGAAATTGAAATTTTAAAAAATCATTAAAGAAAAACAAACTTGAAAAAAAATCTTGAAAATCCTTTTAAAAATCCTTTTAAAAATAATTAAGAAAGACAAAATTGGAAATTGAAATTTTAAAAAATCATTAAAGAAAAACAAACTTGAAAAAAAATCTTGAAAATCCTTTTAAAAATCCTTTTAAATAATTATCAAAGGAGAATAAATTTTGGAATTGAAATTTTAAAAAAGAAATCATTAAAGGAAAATAAATTTGGAAGAAAACCTTGAAAATCCTTTTAAAAATCCTTTTAAAAATAATTAAACGAGAACAAACTTGGAAGTAAAATTTCCCAAACTTCTATAAAATCATTAAATGGAAATAAATTTGGAAGAAAATCTTGAAAATCCTTTTAAAAATCCTTTTAAAAATAATTAAACGAGAACAAACTTGGAATTGAAATTTTAAAAAAAATTTGGAAGAAAAAATTTCTCTCCGTTTCCGAAACTTCTACAAAATCATTAAAACTCCAAATTTGTAATATTTCCATAAGAAAAACATTTCGAAGAACAGACGAAAATTCGCAAGAAGTTATTTTCCACTTATTTTTTACCCATCGATCCCTCGAAACTTCAACTTTGATCGATCGTCGAGAACGCGCGTATTTCTTCCCGAGATTCGATAACTTTTTTTCTCTCCTTTTTTCTCTTTTTTTATCGAAGATCTGTGTCGGACGCGCGCAGAGGAGGAGGAGGAGGAGGAGGAGGACTAGAAGCAGGAGGGGAGGAGGAGAGGATTAAGAGAGTATACACGGTTTTGCGGGAGCGGGCGTATCGGTGGTGGGAATCGGCCTGTGCCCATGTGGCCGAGACTATAAAAGACTAACGAGACCTCGTTGCGAGGTCCCATGGTCGAATTGCGGCGGATGACGTCATCCCTCGCGGAAACGTGTTAATTCATCGCGGCGACGCTTTAATTTCTTCGCAGTGGCCAGGCCGTGGCGAAATTGCGCGGAAAACGGCGGCGCGTTTCCTTCGAGAGGAGGAGAAAATGTTGCGTTTTCTCCTTCCCTCGAGAAAAAAACTCTCAATTATTATCCATCGGGTTGGAAATTAAAAATAAAAAAATATTATCAAAGTAAAGACCATTGATGCACTTTTGCACAACGGGAAACAAGTTTTGTTATTTCGGTTAATGAATATAAATTCTGGAATTTGGAATAGGAAAGTTGTTCGAATTTGCAACTTGTCCATTATATTTTCTGAGAAATCAGAAAAAACTAATTTGAAAATGAAATTAATATCACAGTGGGAAAAATAATTTAAGTTAAAGAACAAATTTGGAATTGGAATTTTAAAAAAATCATTAAAGGAAAACAAACTTGAAAAATCTTGAAAATCCTTTCAAAAATTCTTTTAAAAATCCTTTTAAAAATTCGTTTAAAAATTCTTTTAAAAATCCTTTTAAAAATTTTTTTAAAAATAATTAAAAGAGAAGAAATTTGGAAGAAAAATTTCTTTCTGTTTCCGAAACTTCTAAAATCATTATTAAATTTAAATTTAGTTTAAAATCAATGCAATTTAACACCAATTTTAATCAAAATTAAAATAACAAAAATCGTAAGAATTTTCTTTCCAATTTAATATTATTATTTCCCTCTCTTCGAATCTTAAATTTTTACCAACTAACCGATTTCGTGATATCTTTCATTCACTATATATAATATAATAATAAATAAATTAAAAATAATCATTTGAATTTAATTCAAAATAAATTAATAATTCTAAATTTTAAATAAATTGCCTATATTGATCGAAACTTTGAAAGCTCTTTCATAACTAAGCTGTATAATTTAATTAAAAACATTAATTTTGTAAACTTATAATTTATAATTATTTTAACTATTTAAAAATTTAAATTAATAAATATCGATAATTCCCAAAATTATCATTTTAAATAAACTATTTTTTGAATTTACAATTATATATATAATGATATAATGAAATATTTTGTACACTTGAAAAAATATTTGGTTACGTTTTTTGAACGTTTATATAAACAGACCGCGGATGTTGCAAAACGTGGAAAAATCTACAGAAATTTTCTTCATCCGTTTACCGCGTAAACATCCGCGTAAGAAATTTCTAAAATTGAAATCGAATATATATTTACTTAATGAAAATATCCAAATCTTGAAAATCCTTTTAAAAATCCTTTTAAAAATTCTTTTAAAAATAATTAAAGAAGAAATTTTGAAGAAAAATTTCTTTCCGTTTCCAAAAATTCTACAACCCTTCTTTCTATTAATACATCTCGCTCTATTGTTTTCTAATTTCTTGTTTTGTACACGAAACGAACCGTGACGAGTAAATTTTATTCGTTTATGAAATAAAAATTTCGACCAGTAAAATCGTTCCAGTTTCTCAAATCTCGAATTGCCCAATTATATTACAATTAACATATATTACAATTAATATATTATTATTATTATTTGAATCAATTAAATAATTCAATTAATCCTAAAATTTATATTTTATATTTTATATTTTTAAATTAATGACGAATTTTAAAACCATGACGAATAAATTTTTACGAAATAAAAATTTTGACCAGTAAAATCGTTCCAGTTTCCCAAATTTCGAATTACCCAATTATATTACAATTAACATATTATTATTATTATTTGAATCAATTAAATAATTCAATTGATCCTAATATTTTTAATATTTTAATATTTTATTTTTATTACAATTAACATATTATTATTATTATTTGAATCAATTAAATAATTCAATTGATCCTAATATTTTTAATATTTTAATATTTTATTTTTATTACAATTAACATATTATTATTATTTGAATCAATTAAATAATTATTCAATTGATCCTAAATTTATATTTTTAAATTAATGAATTTTAAAACCATAACGAGTAAATTTTTACGAAATAAAAATTTGGAAAAATCGTTCCAGTTTCCCGAATCTCGAATTGCCCAATTATATTA